TGCAAGATAATCCAGAGGCATGTCTGTAAGTCAACACAGAAGTATACTAATTAAAAACTATCAGTCCTCTATTTCACTGTTGAGTAAGAAAACATTCAATCTTTCTAATAATAAAAAGATCAGGTTCTTCACGGATGCATAAAGGGGTTTATCAGAATAGTATCTATTTGGGAAATCACGTGTCAATGCAAAAAGTTTATGCAAAAGCACAGTATTTGAAGGACTCTCCTCTAACAGTGATCTCACAATATCTACTACTCACTTTTATATCTATCTTTAAAAAACCATGCTAAAGCACGAACTTCTTTGTGAATGTAAATAAATCCATGTAAAGGTTCAAATCATAACAGAGAACACAGTGAAGAATCAAGAAGTAAAAAGAAGTGCCTATTTGCTTACTGCATTTAAATTGTATAAATAACAGTTTTCAAGTCATTAAAGCCAATTGATGTTATTTCTTAAAAACTAAGATTAATACCAAAAGCAGAAATATTCAAAAAGTAAGACCAAAACTAAAGCTTCTCAATATGGGTTGGGCAAAAAAAAAGCTGAAACTATATGCAAACCATTCTGACTCTTGTGCTTCCTTCTGTTTGGCTTAAAAAGAGATCAATATCTCTCTTTACCCTCATCTTCAACTACTAGCAATGCCTCCTGCAGTGCCATTAAAGGCTGCCCTGTGGGCCAAATGATGAAGCAGTCACCTATCTTTGACCTAAAGGGCTGAAACCACATAAGGACATGGCTCTCCTGAGCCAGGAGGGCAGAGAGCACTGATAGCCTGGCAGGAAAAGTCCAGGTTAAGTATCCCTTATCCAAAATGCTTGGGACCAGAACTGTTACAGATTTTGGAGTTTTTGGGGTTTGGGGATATTTGCATGGACTTCACTGGTTGAACATTTCTAATCCAAAATTCTGAAATTTGGAGCATTTCAGTTTTCTAAATTAGGAATGGTCAACTCATATGTACTAGGCTGAAAGAATTAGCTAGCAAGATGCAGAGGACAAACTATTGCCCAACAAACCTCTAAGTGTGCCATGGTAAGGGGTTGGGAGTGAGAAGAGAAGGGAAGGTCCTCAAAAAGAAAAGAAAGGAAAAAAAAAAAGCACAGTGGCTCTAATTCCTAAAGCATACATAGTAACTTAAAATTTGGCTCCAGAAACAAACAAACAGAAATGCGGGCTCTAAGCCACTGAGGAACACAATAAAACAGGTGTTGGGAAAGCCACAAAATCATCTATAGTTTATTCTTTTTCTTCCAATTGTCATGTGATTAACATTTACTCTTCAACTACAAAATTTCACACAGATATAACTCCTGTATAAATCTTTAATGTCATATCCTCTTTTTTTTGCAGTAGTTCATGGAAACTACAATTATCAACAGAAATAAAAACCAAAGACTATATTACCATTTTGTGAAGGGATAAATACCAGAAACCAAAATTTGTGGTATATTGTTCAATTTTAAAAAAGTAAATTTTGTGTTCATAGGTGGAAAAAGCTTTTAAATCTCTTTAACCAACTCTATTAATAAGAAACCATATTAATAAACTCATCACTTTAAAATGTATTTTATTTATATATAAAACAAAGAAAAGAAAAAATAGATGCAAAGAAAAAATCAAACTATTTTAGCAGACTGAAGGTAAAGATGACCGTAGCATACCAAGCTGAAGATCATTCTAAGCACAGTACCCCAACTGTACCTCAATATAGTTAACATAAACAACACCAACTAAATTCCCTCAACTGTCCCAAGAATATCCCTAAAGTCCCAAATTTTAACAGAATTTGTTTTCTTTAAGGTTTTTGTAAACCAAACTTTTTTGTAAGCAAACTTAATGGGTCCTTAACATTCTCTAAAATACTTTAAAAGGAAAAAAAGGCAATTCATTTTAAGACCACAGTCCAACCTATAAAGTTCCATTCAATTTGCTCAAAGATTCAGTTTGATAGTTAATAAAACTATGAAAGCCATTTTGTAAAAAATTAACACAGAGACTGCAAACAATTTATTTGAATTTTCTTAAAACATCTATTTTGCAAAAGAGATTGAAACCTTTTTTCACATTGAGTTGATCGCCATGTCACAATGTCACCAAAATATCGACATTGGAAACATCTGAGTTAAAAAGGCCCAAAGACAATCTGCTTTTCTCAAGCAACACAACACTCGCCTTACTAACAGTTTCAGCATGGCACATGCACAAAACCTAGCACCCTGGAGTTAAGCAAACCGCCTTTAAATTTTCTGTCTGGCAGCAATCCACTTGCGTGTCTGTATGTTTTTACAAGTACTCTATGTATTTCATTGCGTCAGCTGCATTTCTTTGAGTTTTAAATGGTCTGGGAACATTTTATGAAATGTTCTATATCTTTATATGGAAAATAACATACACGGGCAAACTGCATCAGTCTAATATTTATATATCTATTTCTTTATCCACCATCAATGCTATAATTGCTAATGTTCCAAAACCCCTTCTCACAATCATACTCTCACCGCCAAATAAAGTGTCACTAAATAACTAACTTTCAACACAAAAATCTGCAGATCATTGTACTACCATGGAAGAAAGTAACGTAACAATTTGCTTAGACAATTGGAAGTAAGAACAGAGTCATGAATGTATGTCAACCTTGTTTTATAAGAACTGTCTCTGACAGAAAACTAAAAAATTAAATAAAATGGTTCATGGAACACTCTTCTTTCCTAGTCCTCCTCTCTCAGCAACTTTGTCCTCATTTAAGTACTAGTTTCTTACAAATTTAAAAATCAATTTCTTAACTTTCCAAGAAAATACTTTCAAGTACACTTAAAATACCTTGCCAACAATATGTATTGTCTGGTAAAGTTCACATATCTTTTAATCAAATAGGCCTAAAAGAGGCTGCTAGCTGACTTTTAACAAGGTTTCACATCATGTCAACGTGATAGGCCACCGCCTTCCCCCAGCACCATAGCCATCCATGAGGCTTTCCTCACGGAAACATGGATGCACCACTTCTGAAGGCCACAAGAAGCATTTCCACATCTAAAACAGACATTTCACAAGGTAAGACTCCAACAGCTCGCTCTTTCCAGCAGAGAACATGACCATGCTTGAAAGGCTATGTTTCCACAGCAGGAAAAAACCAAGCCCTAGAACAAGTATGTCTTATTTCAGTTCTTTTATTTTTTTAAAAAAGATTAATTTTCTTCAATCTCAATAGTCTATGTTTTCTAGTTTTCTACTATACATACTTATAAATCTTTAATAAGATACACCACGTTGCCACAGGATGTTTAATTAATAGAATAAGAGTTTGGGAAAGACTTAATGGAAAGGTGCTATAAATTATTTTACACAGGCTCCAAATCCTTGGATTCTGCCTTAGGCTTAAAGTTCCTAGAAAACCTGGTAGACAGATCTTTTACAACAGAAATACAAAATAATTCATAAAAGTACCATGGTTATGTATGAAGACTCATTTGCACATCAGTAACTAGTATGTGTACACTTACACATACACACAGACACACCATACCAAATAAAGAATGACATATTTATAATTGATTATTGAAAAATACACTGACTTCATTTTGTATGAAATGTGCAACAACTGCATATGAACCAAATGTCAGTAACTTCTATAACTGGAACTCTTTTAGGAAATTTAAGAGAAGCTGCAAATGTAGCAGTTAACAGGAATCTGTGCTGCTTTCACTTTTAACATGTTAGGTATGAAGACAGAAAACACTGCATTTAATGCCTACTGAATTTATCCAATCATTATCTCTATGATATTTCAGTCAATAAGAGATAAATACTGAACACCTTTAAAACTAACAATTATAAAAAATCTGCCCTTTAAAAAGCAAGGCTTTAATGTTAACAATAAAGGATACAATCTCATTGTTCAATTTCATGGAGTTTAAGATACTATCTTCCTCTCCCATAACCATAAATGTTAATCCAAGTTGTAATCAGGTTTAATTTTCCAGATGAGAAGATGGGAATATGCTGCAAACAGGATAATAGTGCACTCCACTCTTCTTTTCCTGCTGGCATTTTCTATTTCATACGCCAAAACGTGCAGACTCAGAAAACAGTCTAAAAACTTATACTACCTTTTAAGGACCAGTTCAATCTTTCCCAAAACACATTCAGAAATAAAACTTTAGAATTAAGGTTTCCTGAGAGTATGATTACAAAACTGGACTGTGCCAGATAAAGAGCTTTAAAGACGCTGCCCATTAAACCTAGTGAAGCTACACAGATTCGACTCCACTTACTTTACACTGCAACACAGCTCATCATTAGCTTAGCATTTTAACTGAACACCATTAAATTTGCTAGATAATTAAATTTCACTTCTTAAAAATAACATTTTAAAGGAATGTCTCAAATATTTTGCATAAATATATCACCAACATGTTTTCCTTTTCCTTGGCAATGGAACAAGATTTTTTTCTTTCCTTTTAACTTTTTAAATTAAAAATTCCTATTTTTTGATTACTGATTATAAAATGCAAATTTGACCCTAAATGTCAAAGGAGTCTAATTAAAAAAAATTATTTCAAAGTACTTCAAATGAAACTTTATTTAGTTTCCACGTACAAATGGAATTTGTTACTTTAAGAAAAGGTACTCCACATACTTTTTGCCCTGAAACATGAAGATTGAAGACATAAAAACATTTAGTGGTCTCAATTTTAAACCATGATTATATTCTAGCATTTTTCCCAACACTGGAATTTTAAATACTCTTTCACAGCAGCCAGCCTGATAATATAGAAATAGGTGACCTACACCTATAATAAAAACATAAATAGCATTACTCAAGGAAGGAAAGCAAAACCCATTCACATGCCTGATTCTTCCCCAGAATAACATACTCTTTCCAACA